CCCCAAAACCCCAAAACCCCAAAACCCCAAAACCCCAAGGGTGAGATTTTAGCAACTCAGAATGAAATTTGAAATATTAATATAAATATGAATTAAGATAGAAAACCTATATTCTCAAATACTGGCTCAAACTTCAACAAGACTGCCACATCATTTACAAGCAATATAACCTCTAGCTAAAAAGAAGAAGATAAATAAGTTATCATTGATGAAGCCCTAGTCTTTAGATGCGCTATGACTCGAGACTATGCCAAAATTTAAGAAATCTCTATCATATCAGAGGGCGTAACTTTCATAGATGGAGGAAATATTATGTTGAAATAATTTGTAAACTTGAAGAAATTAGACTTGAGTTTCAATAAACTAGCTAAAATTGATAACTTAGACACTCTCAAAGAACTTAGAGAGTTAAATTTAAGTTATAATAGGATTGAATAGATTGAAAACCTAAATAAGTTGCCAAACTTAAGAGTGCTTGTCTTGGACCATAACAAAATTAAGCAGTTAGAAAACCTGCGTTATCTCAGGAAGCTAGAGGTATTATAAATCACAGGCAATCTACTTGAAGATCTATATATTAATGGAGGAGTGACTGAGCCTATGATTGAAATTAAAGAGATTTAGGCTGGTAGGAATAAGATTTAAAATCTTAAACCTCTTCAACACTTCCCTAATGTATGAAATTAAGTTTAGTTTGACTGTAATTATTTAGGTAGAGGAAATCAACTTAAGTGGCAATCCAATAACATACATTCCTCAAGATGCTTTTTCAACTTGTACTAAGCTTCTTAATCTTTAGCTTGATGAGATTAGCTTAAAATACCCAGAGACTGATCTTAAATTTATAGCTAGTACTCCTGGCCTAAATGTAATTAAAAAGTGATAATTGTATTTTTCATTGTAGAGATTAAGTATGAACAAGATATTCAAGGATATGTAGACTTTAGATGGTTTCGTAGATCTTCCTGAGTTAGAAGATTTGAGTTTATAATCTAATGGTCTTATTTCAATTATTGGGATTGAGGACAAATTTCCTAATCTTACTGTGCTTGACATTTCTTTTAATAGAATTTTTTCTGTAGAAAATATTGATATATTAGCAGAATTACCAAATTTGGCTGAAGTCTTCTTTAATGACAATCCTATTTGTGTACACAAACAGTAATAATTGATTACTTGCTTTATTATTATAGCTTAAAAGAATTAGTTAAAAATGCTTGCCCTTTTATTGAGGTCATTAATAGAGAAGAGATCATGGAGTCAGGCTATCGATTTAAAGAATAGATATTTAAACTGAAGTAGGAAATGACGAATTCTAGAGTAGGAACTTATCAGGGAGATAGAATTATAGAAGAAGCAGAAAATGATCCAAATATTATACTTAGTGAGATCTTGAAGGATGATTTAGAAGATGAAAACGGTAAAAATACCTATGGAGCAGGAAAATTAAGCGAAATCTTTTAGAAAATGCAGAAGAATTAATCAAAGACTGATTAGGCTATCAATGATTTTGAGAAGAACTTTGGTCTTAGGCTATAAAAACTTAGAGATGACTTAGTGGACATTGATGACCCACAGGTAGATGCAGAGTAGTTTGAGAAATTTGTTAGTTCATAGTTTGGTGATCTTAAGAAGAATTTCAGAGAAGTAGTTGATAATATAAGAACCAAAGATTATAGATCTTTTGTAAAGATTAATGAGACAAAGGCTAAAGCAAATGAAAGCTCAGGAACTTACAACAAAATGGAGGAAGAATTATCAAAATTAAAGTAGTAGATGGAAAAAGCGAATTAGGCTAAATTACTTTTCAATGATTTCTTTAGTGACATTAAGGAGCTAAAATCAAAAAGCATAGTTTAAACTTAAAATGAAAAGGTGAATGTTAAGCCTAATTAAAAGTAGGTTAAAAAAGAAGTGGAAGATGAATATTACGATGAAGAGTATGAATTAGAGGAAGGGGAAGACGAAAATATAAATTCTTTATATCACACTTCAATGAGGTTAAATTCCAGAAGAGAAAATAAAAGAGTGCCAAATAAGGACCTGTCTCCAAATAAGAGACGAACTGAAGATCAGGAGGACTAGGAAGCCTAAGAAATCCCCTCACACTAGCCAAGAATAGTTTCTAAGAACTCTATGAAACTTAAAAGTTTGCCTGGCCTCAATAATCTGCAAAGTTAGCAAGCTTAAAATCAAAACTCCAAAGAAAATAGTAAGGCGATGCTACCAAAGTCAATGACTAAGGATTTAGATCCTCTAAGAACCTCACAAACTTAACTTCAAAAGACTACTAGAGGAAACTCTTAGTAGAGAGAAGCAAGAGATTTTATTATTAAGAATACTTAATAAACTAATTCAGGTGCTATCAATACTACTACATCTTCAAATGGCTTTGGTCCTTAATTCTCTCATTAGTAAAAGAAAATTCTAGGAATGAATAAGCCTCATTAACTTGCATAACAAAATGATATAATAAGGCAATTACTAGAAAAGGAAAGATCCCAGAATTCAGTGTTTACCAGTACTATGAGCTAATAAAGGTCAGGGAGTAGCTTTGGCTTGAATAAAGATCCAATGCAAACATCCAAAGTGGTAAAAGAAGATGAAATGACAATTCAGTCCTAAACATCAGTACAATTTCCTTTAAAGAAGCGTTAAACTCCTGGATCAGTCAAGAAAAACAAAGTAACTTAGGAACCAAGAAGCTAGTACAGTGAACTTTTTAAGTTCAATATGTCTGACACTTTCTAAAAAACGACAAAGCATGACAATAGCAATAGCAAGTCAGTAACGAAGTCAAATATAGTAAAGGAAAGTGGATAAGGCTCTGGAAAGAAGGGTCAATATGATGAATTAAATGACTCAAATGATCCAAGAGAAAATATTATCAGTGATAAGAGACTTGAAAAGTAAGAAAGAGAAGCGTATGAGAATTCATTCTTAGTAAAACTCTTTAAAGGTTATGAATAGGAGAATGGAAGCAAAACAGCAAGAAATAAGTCTCCCTAGAAAGAGAAACTTTCAGGAAAAAACTTGTTTAATACTGATCTTAAGTTAGTAGATACTTCAGCTCAGAGCATTGAATAAAAAGCTAAGCCAAAAATGAGAGTGCCTCTACCAAGAAATATAGCCAAGAAAGATTAATGATTATCAATAGATAACTACAATACAGAAAGCAATGAAATACTTATTAACACTTCAACTATCTATAAATTATTATTAATTAGTGTAATTTATGATTGACTATTGAAAGTTTTAACTCTAGCTGTGGGGTTTTGGGGTTTTGGGGTTTTGGGG